TTAGAGTAAAAGAAACTTTAACAAGAATTACATTTATATATCCTCATGTTATGGAGGCAGAACATTTCTCTCTTGAATAAAGTCATAGTTAAACTGCAAAATGAAAACAAAAGTACACACTTATTAATAACATGACCAGTACTATGATATGAACAACTTTTCTTACAACTCATAAGTTACATTTGCAGAAGCGACTAACAACAGTTGTCAATAGTAACAATAGTTACTATAAATAGTTCTTAACTCAAGTTGCAAAGAAAAACTTTATTTTGAGCAGCAATAGAGCTGCMAGCTCCTCAGTTGCAAGTTGCACACAATTGCACACAGTTGCACACTGCAAATTGTCTTGTAAACAATTGTGGGAAAGCTTGCAGTGAATAATGATGTAAATGCGTACGTGATGATTTGATTCAAATACTTGCAACTAATCTAAATGTTTAAGTGTGTATTTGTGTTTCCAAGAAGATAAATTTAAACAAGGAAAAATGCAGTTGTGTTTTTATGGTATTTAATATCCTCAATTATAGTAATAGTTATAGCTTAATTTGTATTAACTCAATATTTTCAAAATTAATTTGTATAAGCAAAAAAAATAAAAATAAAAAAATAAAAAAAATTTAATTCTTAAAATTTGTTCAACACTTCTAAAAAATAGTCTTTTTAAATTTGAAAATAATTAGTTAGGGATGCATGGACAGGAAATAAATTTTAGTGATCTCTGATAAGATAAATTACAATTCACTTACTTTAGATATGATATCCTCTGATGATAATTTTGGTATTCCAGCAATATTATACTGCAAAATTAATATTTTAATTAATCAATCAGTTGATAATAGGTGTATGATGATGATGATAATCTATAGGTTTCCCTGGATAAAGCCTTTCGACTTCTCTCTGTTCTGTGTAGCTTTAAATACCTGTAATGAGGAGCACTGATAGTCTGAGGGGATAAAAGTGCACAGGCTCGACTGCTTCATATATGAGCTCCTGGCTCAGGACAATTGAACATACACTCCCCACATTATCGAAGTAAAATAAATTACCATCATCATCATCACCATCATTATTATTACTGGTTCTGATAAAAACAGTAAGCTTTGTTTCTGAAGTCCTCTATGAGAGTTGAAGGGACCCAAAACACAGTGTTACAAGGACCCAGCCAATAGTTGTGTCTACTTTATAAAATGACAATTTTGTTTTGATACAATATTTGTCTATATATTGATATAATTAAAGCATTTCACATGATTATAGTTATTAAGAAGCAACTTACCCCCGATTTCTTCCAAAGAATTTCAAATTTGCTATTGATTTCAAAAGGGAGACCTTCTATTCCTATTGAGAAAAAAATCCATACAACATAGAAGGTAAGCTAAAAAGCTTTTCTGAGAAAGAAAAAAAATTCATGATAGCGTAAAAACAAGATCTTTCTATTTAGAAAAGGAACGCAAAAATTTTTATCGGGAGGGGGGGAGGGGGAGGGGAGGGAGGAAAGAAACCTTTTTATTTTGTCACCGTGGGAACCCAAGAGAATTAATAACAGAATTTTACTTCCAGGTTTCTAAAAAAGGTTCCTTGTTGACTTAAGGAAGGTTATGAATTTCTTACTGAGTGAAATGGGGAGGGACACAAAAAGTTTACAGCAAATCTCCTATCCTCTTAATAAAAAAATACCTTTAATTCCCTTAGCCCTCTCTTTTACTCTGGCCCCCTCCCCATACCCCACTTTCACCGTTCTCAAAGTATGTCAGAGACAGCACCATAACAGTGGATTCAAAACCACTCCCTGTCATTGGTTAAATTGGGATTTAGCATGTTTGGCTTTGCGGAGGGAGGAAAACTGGCAAACCATGAGAATAATTCTCATACCAAGGAAGAGACTTAACAAGCTCTACTCACATGTGATGCTGAGTCCAGGAATCAAACCCAATTTAGACCCAGGAGAAAAACCCTCAAATCAAGGGAGACCTAACAAGCNGATGCTGAGTCCAGGAATCAAACCCAATTTAGACCCAGGAGAAAAACCCTCAAATCAAGGGAGACCTAACAAGCTCTACTCACATGTGATGCTGAAACCAGGAATCAAACCCAATTTAGACCCAGGAGAAAAACCCTGGACTCAAGCCCAAGACTCCAGAGGTTGGAGGCAAGCGCCGATCCCTAAGCAACTCTTGCTCAATAACAAATAATATGTTTCTTTACCTGTTTGCGCACTTAGTTTCGTGGCAGGCATTGCATGATGGGGTGCATAAGGTTCCTGTGTTTGTTGCTGCGATGCTTGTTGCCATGGCACTGGCATGGATTGTCCCAGAGCTTGAGGTTGGYCATACCTAAATATTTACAAGTCATCATTAAAACCTACACTAATTTAACACTCAGTCAAGATACATTTTCATGTGCAAAGTTGCAAAGCTGATAGAAAATAAAGTGTTTAACAAATATTTCAAAGTCCTCACACAATAGACTTTATTCTTTTTTGTGATGCAGGTTTTCCCGTTATAGACCACGCRTCATTCCCTAGAGAATAAGGTTCTTTGTTTGAGTTGTATCCATAATCATGTGTCTTCTCGTGTACAACCGTTTAACAACGAAATGGTACATTTGGGAGTGACACATAGTCTGAAATGGGAAAACATTACACCCAAGGTCCTTTGTGTGTGTGAGTTGTATCCTTACTCATGTGTCTTCCTCATGCAAAACCATTAAACAAAGAAATGATACTCAAGGTAATGACACATTTGTCAAGAAAACATTACAACAAGATCGTCTATAAGGTATATGTAAAATACGATCACTTACCATTGTTGTCTGTTAGGACCAACAGAATGTGGAGTACTAGAGAAAGAATAGGTAGAGGGTCCTGCTGTAGGTGCAGGAGGACGGTACCTTGTCACTGGCCCCGTACGAAAACAAATGAACAGATCATTGACATCATTTCTAAAATGAACAAAAACAAATTAATTTATCATTTAATTTTGATTAGAGTGCAAACAATATAACCGTGAAACAAATAGTACAAAATAATGCTATTTAAACAATAGAAAACAATGGAATTTGCATGAAATTGTGCTATTTAGTATTACTAAAGTTTCACGGATATATTGTTTGCACTCTAGTGCTTTGAGCGTAAATTATGACAATCTCTTAAAATTGGCAATCTTTTTATAGAATGCAGTGTTGTGCAGATTGAGTGAGCCTTGAGGAAGAGCCCCTAAAGGAAGTCGTGGTGTAGATAAAGTATGAGTTAAGTGGGGAGGAGAGGATACCATATTTGTGATGTGCAGCGTAAACTTTGCTGTACAAGGTTCTGCATAATCCACAGGAAAACGACTGTATAATTGATGGAAAAAATTGCAAAGCATCCTAAATTTTTGTTACAATATATATATATATATAATGGAAAATTGAATTTTCGGAG